TAATTTTATCAGGTCAAAAACCAATTCTCATGTCAAATCTACTAACAATAGCAATTCCATGCCATTTTTACATCTCAGGGGCAATTTTGTAATTTTTTATCAGTTTATTTTTGGTATTACAACTTTTAATGGGAACAATCATAATTTAAGGTTTTTATGGTTAATTGATGAACTGGTTAATCACTAAACTTGGAATTATTTATTACCAGATTTCTAATTTCTAATAGAGTCATCCGAGTCTTATTAATTTACATACTTTTACAGTATTCAGATCAAATTTAGAGATGATTAACTATATACACGTGACAAAATATATTCTTTCATGCATTAACCAATATTAACATGTTCCATAAAGCATACATAAGATAGTAATGTATTACCTCGATTTTTTTGATCCATATCGATTAACTAATTAAACTTCATTTTATCACCCTCGAACTTTAATTCCATGTCCCATAATGTCTCGGATACATGGAAAAACCAATTACATTAGAAACGGAACTCAAATGTGAAAATTTGTATTGAATCAGGAGTTAAAATAATGAAAATAGCTTACCGAGTTCAAATTTGGCAAAATGGACTTTGGATTCAGACTCAGGACATTGAAAAACTTAAAATATGACTTTTCGAAAAAAATTGACTTTTTGGTCAAAGTCATTGGTCAGTCAATGAGTTGACTCTATTCAAGTTGACTCAATTGGGTTGACTCAGTGAGTTGGCTCAGCTCGACCAAGTTCGGTCTGACTGTATCGGTTCCAGAAGGCTCATAGACGGTGACGCCTATCGACGGTCGACGATCGAGATCGGAGTTGACCTTTAAATATTTTTACTATTATACGATGAATAATAATGGGTTTGGGGATCAATGGTTAGTTTTGAGGTCATAAGGGGTTGTTGGAGCAGTTGGGGGCGGAGCACACCGTAGCTGGCCGGAGGTAGTGGATCGACGACACCAGTGGCTGGGTTGAGGATGAACTTTCCAAATTGGGGCTAAGAGTGTTTTCACCGAGTGGAATTTATTTAGAACATATTAAGAGTTATAAAATCTAACATGAGTCAGTGAAATAAAAATAAGTTTAATATCATATCAGCTACATTGACCAAGCCTATATATATATATATATTTGAAGCACAAAAGAGAAAAGGGTAAACCTTTGATCAAGTCCTTGAACATAGAAGAGCTTTCAAAATAGACCCTAAATTTCTAAAATTTTGCTATATGATCCCTTGAAATTGATACTTAAAAGATTAATATTATTCCAAAATTTTGGGGTGTGATTGATTAAGGATTTATCGATACTCAAGGTTGAGTATCGAAACTTTGGTGCTGGGGTACCGATACTTGACTGAGTATTAATACCAAATTTCAATTCGACGTTTTGAAAAATATCCCAATATTGATACCCCTATGGGGAGTATCGATACTCCTGCCCTGGTATCGATACTCAATGAATGAGCATCGATACTACTTTATAAAATTGCCTAATTTATGCCTGACTGAAGAATAATATCGATATTGTTCTTACAGTATCGATACTGTCGCTAATGGGTGCTTTGTTTTAGGCACGAAAATCCCATCTTTCCATGCCTAAATGCCCCATTGAGGTCCCCAATTGTTGTTTAAGTGTTTTATTTGATTATAGGGGTTATAAAGAGTTTGTAAACATGCTGAAAAACACACAAATTATGCAATCTACCATGATCATGCTTCAAGCTTATGCAACCTACCAATATCATCTAGATAAGCTACAAGTGGTATAGAGAAGTTAGAAGTGAGTTACCTACGTATCTAAACTACTAGAAGAGTCAAAGGCTTAGCCCAAGGTGAGTTTTTCTTTCCCCCTTTATTGGGAGCTTTCCCCAACCTCTCTCACTAGCAAGAAGAAAATGCTATGGTTACTAACTGAGTTTTAAGGCTGAGAAAGGTTTAGAAATACTTCATAAGGCTTAAATTTCTTGAAAAACGGATCAAACTCAAAAGTTTTTTAAACCCTCATAAAACCCACTTGTGGCAACCATGGTCAAAACTTGATCTCCTAGTCTTAAAATGAAGCTCTAGAGGTGTTGAGTTTGATTCTTACCTTTAGTTTGCTGAGTGAAGATTGCAAATTCTAAAGCTTTGAGCTTTGCAGCTTTGCTAAAACTTGGTGGAAAAAAAAGTGAATGGAGAAGAAGAGAAGAAAGGACTAGGTTTGTGGAGGAAAAGATAAACATTGCTTCAAACGTGATATCACCCATCAATGGGTTTTCAGGCTTTTGAAATTAAAATGGTGTATTCACTTTGTTGGTCCCTCAAACTCTGATTGTGAACTGAAATTACCCCTTTTGCTCTTTATTGGGCTAGATCCAAGCCCAAACCATTTCAACTTGGGTCAAAGATTTCTATGAACTAAATAATTAAATCAATGTCCACCCCGGTTAGCCCGAAGCTCCTAAACCGGGATCTAGGGCGTTACAGTTTACTAAAATAATATTTATCTCATGTCGACCGATGATATTGATCATCATTTATATATCTTATTTTTTTGCACCCGAAAACTTTGTCTCGGTAATTTTATGTCGAAATCTAAATAATATAATAAATAAAAATTTAAAAATAATGATAAAAATAAATTTAAAAATTTAGTGGAAAATAAAGTTAAAAAATTATCTTGAAGCCAAACAAAACTCAACCAGGGCTACTGTAATTGACATAAAAAAAAAGAACCAGTACCTCGCTCAAGGCTGTAACAAAACTAGACAACTCGCAACATTGACTTTTTAACTCCTTTTGACGATTGTAGCCTTGCAAAGTTCCCGGTATAAATGCCAAAATCGTTGAGCCCCACCCAACTAGTGTTATGACACTCAGTAAAATTATTCAATATCGAAAGATACTAAGTGTACGCCACATATCAGATTTATCTGGTAACAATATACCTCCAATCAATCGGTGAAGATACGCTGTTCGAGCTTCAAATATGACATCGTCCTTGGTAGAGTCGTTAGTCACATTAAATTCAGACTCTAACCAAGTTATTTGTATTTGGTACCCGTCTAAGATCTCTGGTGGTGGTATCTTTCCGAAAATTGCCTCAACAATAGCGAATCAGTTGAAATCGTTGTGCCTCACTAGTGTCGCACCATTAACCGAAACACTGAGTTAGTAAATGACGTTATCCAACGTAATCGTCACTTCACCACTCGAAAATGGAAAGTATGCCTTTCGTGCCTTCAACATTCAATCATCATCAAAATATATGTCGGGTTCACTTTAAAATCATGCAAAAATGTGGCTGGATAAGCCCGTTGTAAATATATAATAATCCACTGATACATATCTCTAAGTGTTATTCCTCGTTGATGAATGTTCCATTCTTCTTCCGGACCGAGTTCGAGCGAAGAAATATAGACAGCATCAAGGCGTAACATTTCATCTTAGGTAGACATTTTCAGGAATTCTTAAAAAAAACAATTTTTTTCTCAATTTTTTCTTAACAATATACAATAAAATTCTAAACCTAAAACATTATTTATAACCCCAAACCCAACCGATATAAATGATTATATTTTTCAAAAATCCTATGGAACTAGTCACCTCGACATGACGAGTTTCAATTTGCCCGTTGAAATCTGACTGTTGTTGTTATCTATTGTCCAACGACTATTTTTTTAACTTCAAGGGAAATTCGTCATATCGACGTGATAAATTTTGATTTTTTTTAATTTTTAAAATTAATTACTAATTTTTAAAAAAATACTTTCTATGAAACTCATCACTTCAATATGACAAGTCTCTGGAAATATATTATGATAATCTGGTTACGTTGAGGTGACGATTTACCCTGTATTGTAGCATTTACAGTAGTTTACAAAATAAACTCGATCGTGGCCTATTGGGCCAATTAATTTTTGCGCCCGGCCATTGGGCCAAAGAACCCAAAAGCTTCACTGCAAAACATCATGTTTTATGCAAGCAATTCGTTTTGTTCTACGCTCTCTGAAATCCCACGTTAGAAGTCTATCCTTGGTTATCTGGGACTCACGTACCCCACTATGGAAATGAGTTAGTCGAATTTGGGTGCTATTAAATTTAACTCGATTCATAAAATGTAAAATTGAGTTTAACTCAATTTAAATATTAACGACCTTAAAATAATCAAGTTCAACTCAAATTCAAAATAAAAAATTAAAGTTCAACACAACTTGAAAGGTTGTGAAGTTTAAAATTTTCTAAATTCAAATCGAAATAGAAAATTAAAGTTTGACTCGAGCTCGAAAAAACTTAAAGTCGAAATATTCTTATATTTAGCTCGATTGAAGCTCAAACTTGAATTAGAACCATGCCTTTTGCTTACATGAAAACCTTATATTGTAATTAATATATATATATTAATGTTAATAATATATATTACTACTATATTATTTTTTCGAATTGCTCACGAACTTTTCGAGTCGGATATTAAGTAGTTTGTTTCAACTCATTAAAAATTTGAATCGAATTTAATCTCGAGTCAAGTCTATTCGATTCAAGAATCGACCAAATTTTAACCTAATTAATTTTAAATAGCTCATGTTTCATTTACTGTCTCAAAAACAACCCATAAGACTCCAAGTCAGCCACCAAAAGCTTACTTAACACGGCTGCCATTTCGTGTAAACTCCTCGAAACACACTTTCCCATTTTCGTCGTTTTCCAGATTTCAACAGCTCGCTACTTTGAAATCCTACTTACTTTAATACCAAATTTTGAATATTCATTATTAAATAATTGAATCTTTCAAAAAAAATACTACATTATAATTGCATTAGATTAATTGAAAAAAAAACAACCAAAAAGAAAAACAAGGACGAAGTTTCCTACATTTGCAGATTCTATGTGAAAGCATTCCGAACAAATATTGTTTGTGAACATCAAAATCTGGGGAAAATATCGGCGGCAATTAAACCTGACCACTACTTCATGTGGTGGCAAATGCCGTGTGTTTTGGCCCTGCAATGCACCATACAATTTCTGGTGATGGAAACAAGTTTGGATTTTAACCATGGAAAAACAACTATAATGGAACAAATGGTTTTTACATACATGAAAACTTTTCCATATTCTGTAGAAATTTTCCAGCACTATGCCATGGTATTTTCCACAGTTAGTGATAACAATGTCTCGAAAAGTACATGAATTTTCATACATACAAACAGAAGAAGATGGCATTACGTCGTATACGCGGACAGTTTCCCGTTTTCTGTGATATTTCCTCATGACTGGCCTGCCGAGCCTTGTTTCATCGAAGCTGGTGGGGTTAATTCTACTGTCATGTATCGATCCCAGATATCCTCCTCTTTTATCCTTCTTGGCTTATCTTCATCATTTACTCCTAGAAGCACAAAGGAAAATATAAAGAAAATGGGGGAAAAGGGGATGATAAGATATTCTATGCAACCCCTGCTAGCATAAATAACATTTTATCAGCTATCGTACCTCAGATGGATCAATGGGTATCGGACTTAAATTTGCTTCAGCTGGTGCCGCCTCGGAGATCCTTGCTTCCGATTTTTCGTTTGAATAACTAGCAAAGGTTGAAAAAACATCAATAATATTATGAGGTTTTGGCTACACTAGGTCCGATTTCTAACAATGATCAATCCCATTTTAAGATAGATCAGTTAATATGTACAAATCTGAGCAAAGAAAATGTCTTACAAATCAAATTCAGTGTTGATATTACAGGATCATGCGTCTCATAATCATATTAGTAATTGCTACCAATCTGCCATTTTCTCAATTAGCTAGTTTGCGCGGGGAAAGTATGTTTTTCGATGCCGTTGACTAATATTGAATCATTCAATATTTAAGAAACTTACGTTGAGAGAATCGTGACCCAAATAAGTTCTACGCAGTCCACCCAAAGAAGCCTTTGTTCTACCGGAATGACACCGTAAGTGATAAGATGAGCAAACGGCCAAAGCTTCCATCCAGCCTACAAAATAACCGTGCACAATTAGGCTGAGAGATATTCACACCACAGAAAAATGAAGCAACACTTTGAATCTAGTGTGAATGAATGGCAAGGATAGAAGGTTCTCTTACTGTCAACATAGGCAAGAATGTTGCCTGCAATTCGCTATAAATACTGATTGGAGAATCAAGACGCAAAAATCCCACAACTACAAAGTAAATGCTGTTCCAAACTGCAGCCCATGCAGTTTGGTCGAAAGCTACTTTCACGGGAACTACCCACCAATCTTGGAAAGGAAAAAGCTCCTGCGATGAAGAACCGAGTGTTGTTTCATTAAACCAGATAAAAATATCAACACTGAACTTTATTCGTAAGACACATAGTGCAGAATGATTACCTCACAGAACTGGTAATAGTAATGAGACAGGGAACCATGTAGAGTAAAACCAACAAGGCCAGATCTGAACATTCGGGTACGATCGAACTCGAAGAGAGGTTTCCCTTCAAAGCACTGAAAGAACAAAGGCAAGATAAACTTTAATAGACAATTTTGTGACCAAAATCTAAAAGATTTGAAAGTATTTTTCTGACTATATAAACTTACTTGCGCAATCCAATCCCCAAGAGAATAGACGACTCCGCTAATAACCATTTTTGCTAAAACAGGATTTGTCTTCAAAGCTTCTTCATAAGCACTCCAGTTGTGTTGAGGTGCATATCTTAGTATCTCATAAATAGTCCATCCCTACCATTGAAAGCCAAAAACTATAAGTTCCATCATATGTTGCAGATCAAATCGATTATTACTTACCAATGCTAGGCATTCAAGTGGTACATAAGCATATCAAACATCAACACAGTCCACTCATAACAAATCAAGCCTTCAACAATGGCAATCACCAATTGAAGAAACTAAAATAAAGTTGAAAAAACAAGATAGGATGCAAGCTATTCAAGTATATCCATGAAGAGCCAATCACAGCATAATCACAAATTTTCAAATTTGACAATTGACACCTTCTAGCTACATGGAAATGGAAACACATCAGACCCTGAAAATAAAGCAAACAATGTAATTGAACTGTTCAATTGTAAAGGAAAAAGAACTTTAACCGCTTTAGTGGCAATATACATATATAAAAGCGGATCTTTCACATGTTCATAAGAGAACTCTAAAAAGAAGAGGGAAAGAAAGAAAATCCCAAATCAAAAAAGTAGAAATCTTTTGCAGTACTCATCAAATAAAAGAGAAAAAGGGAAACAATTTATGAAATTTCGCAACAAAATCTTGCAGATTTTCATAGAAACAAAACCAATTCACAATAAAATTGCAGACAGAAATATAAAAATAATCTCACCTGCCAATAATTGTGATCAATGGTAAGCAACTTGGTAAGAGCAAACGTACCGGCAGCAAGAACAATAGCAGCATTAATAGTTCTATCTATAAGCCTATCCAATTCCTCTTGACTTCCTCCATCACCAAATCCATTTGCCGAAGGTGAACCCAAAGAAGAAACCCCTTCAAAAGACAACCTCCCTTCATTACCAAACCCACTTACTTGAGTCACTAGGTCTTCCCCCGGCGATTCTCTCTCGACCTGGTTCACATCGACTCCTACTTGCATGTCGGTAACATCCTCGCTTTGAACTGGGATCACGTCGAGCTCCTCGGCTAATGAGTTCACCACCACCGAGTTGGCCCTTTTGTTGCAGTTCCTTTTCTGTTTGGTCCCGGAGAAAACACGACCATCGGGCAGCTTTGAGGTGGTTAGTGAGGAATATGAGACCTGCCTCGTGATGGGTTTTCGAGGTTTTGATAAAGAAAGGAGGCTTTGAGGAGTTATCGCGGTGTGAAGAGACGTCATGGATAAGTTTCTAGGACGAACCGAGTTGAGTTGAGCTGAGTGGACCGAGGTATGTCCCGGTAACTCACTAAGGCTTCAACTGCTGGGATTTTCTAGTCGGAAAGAGCCCCATCATATACGAGGGAGAGTTTGGGTGGGGCGATTCGATACGATTAGGCTTATGATTAAATGTGCATGTTTTAAAAGGTTTAGGATTCTATTTGTCAATGGATGTGATTTTAAGTGGATATATTATGATATGAACGGTGATTGATGGTCTTTGGGGTGTGGTAGTGCACTTACATTCGGTAGAGCGTCATACAGGGGATAACGTTGTGTGTGATTGGTGGAGGAGATAATTTTAGGATGAGGATATAACGTCCACATAATAAAAGCTGGATTGAGATTTTACAAAATAAATAAATAGCATAATCGTAGTTGACCCAAACACCAATAATGCTTAGCATTTGAACAGTTAAAAAGTAAATACATGAATGTAAATCTCATGATTTCCACATGTGATAATCGCTTAATATAATATAATTATATTAACTTATTGGTGTTTATCGAGCGAGTCGATCACGAATTGGACAGTATCTGACTCGTACATGTTAAAAATTTTGTTGCTCGATATGACTCATTGCACGTTAAGCTTATTAAAATTTTGTTCAACTCGTTGCTCATTAAGCTTGTTACTCTTTAAGCTTGATGTTTATTGCTTGTCTCGTTGTTCGTTAAGCTCATCGAAATTTTTATCTTATTTTCTTAACTATAGATAAAATATACTAATATTATATAAAACTTAATATAAACATAAATTAAAAAATTTAACCAATATTTTTTTCCAAAAGAGTGTATGAAGTAATTTTAAAGTCTAAACTCCAAAGTAACAATCTATAAATACATTAAAATAATAAATACAGTTTGATTTTTGAGTGTATAAAATATTTTTTTAAAATAACTACTAAAAAATTATATTAAAAAATTAACTAGTTGTTTGTGAACTTATCGAGTCGAGTTGAACTTTGCTCGACTTAACTCATTAAGGGCTCGAGTCGAGCTCGAATTCGAGTCGAATTTTTACCGAGCTTTGACCGAGTCAAGTTCGAGCTGCTCAACTCATTAAACATCCCTATACCAACTATATAAAACAGATCTAAAATGATAAAGCAAACCTACCAAATGTGTGCATCTACTATGCATATTTAAGATGAATGGTTCGTAAACCGTTCGTTCGAGCTACTCAACTCATTAAACATCCATATACCAACTATATAAAATAGATCTAAAATGATAAAACAAACCTACCAAATGTGTGCATCTATTATGTATAGTTAAGATGAATGATTTGTGAACCGTTCGTATAATATTTATTTATTAAATTAAATAAGTAAATATGAATAAATTTTTTGCATTAATTAAATAAGCGAATAATATATATATATATAACCCACGTCAATTTTGAGTAGGACCGGCCTAACCAGAACACGTAGATGGATGAATGGAGGAGCCAACATGAGTCATGACATATCTGTTTGTTGCTGTAGATTAATGAGCAGAGCAAATTTCGTAAACCATTAAAAAAAATGTAAAGGCCATTACTAAATTGTAGATGGATATTCTTTTTTGATGTTTTCCTCCGAATTCAGTGGTCGATAACTCCACACATATTTATGGATTTGCTTCGACGCACTAAGAATCGTGGATTTTTAGTCACTTTGCTCTCCCCATATATTCATCAAATATATAAGATTTTTTTAAAAATAAAATAAAATAACTTATCGGTCATTGAATCCGTTCACCTATGAAATCCGTTCAACCCATCCTTAACATTTTAAACAGCATTGTTAACTTCAAATAAACTCTACACTTTTGTTGTAAAATTTGTCATTAATCGGAAAAACATAAATTTTCATTTTCTAAAAACAATTTACCTAAAATTTAAGGCTTCTAAACTTTAATGATCATACATACCTTTCGGCTACAAAATAATTTATTCTAGAATTCATCAAGTGATATCGGTGATCAAAGAAAGTATTATTCTCATTAAAGGTCACATATTCGATCAGTTACACAAGAGATATACATTGTTGATTGTTAAGAAAGATTCTGAACAAATATTACATTGTAATCATTAAAGGAAGTGTTATTCTCATTAGAGGTCATGTGTTAAATCAGTTACACAAGAGATCTACATTGTCGATTCTTAAGAAAGATTATGAACATATATTATCTTGTAATCATAAGATATTATTAAAAAAATAAATTTATTCTAATATGTTGAACTACTTTTTGTTATTTTTTTCTTTCAGTTTCTTAGCAAACAAAAGATAAATTCAAATTAAAAAATTGTAACACTTACCCTCCCTCTCCTTGGTGTAGGAGGGATCATCCAAGGGTAGATTTAAAAATATTTTTAAATTTGAGTGCACATATATAACATAGGATTTTATAATTATGTATGAGTATAAAAAAAATTCAAAATAAACACAATCAATAAAATAAATAATTACTCAAAAAACTTTTAAATTTAAGATATATACTTGTTCACCCTAAATATAATATGGATCTCAGTGGGGTTATCTGTCACCAATTTCATATTTTTCCCAAAAAAAATATAATAAGAAAAAGTACTAGTTATTTTTATATCAAGAGTAATTTAATTGTTTTACATCAAAATAATAAAGATTTTATTAATTAAATAAATTTTAAATTAAAATAATTAAAAAACTATTTAATTAATATTTAAATTAAAATTGGACCCAATATCAAATTTAAATTTGGGAGTACACATGTAACGAACCGAATCCCGGATTAATAGTTTCAGGCTAATCTGAGAGAATTTTGGATAAACCCATTAGCCTTGTAGGAACTTTTGGTCCAAGTTTGAGTTAGATTAGGCTTGGGTTGAACCCAATTTGAGATAAAAAAAAAAAGAAGAAGATATTTTTTATTTGAGACCAAAGTTTGAGAGACTGAAAGAGTAATTTTACCATTTAAAATTCAAAGCCTGATTTCCTTAATGGCTAGTGAGGTCACACGTCATGTGCTAAGGGGAAAAGCTGAGTTTTATCTCATATCTCATTTTCCTCACCTTTGTCTCCTTCTCCTATTCAAACTCTCATTTTTTTTCTTTTGTACATCTTGAGAAAAGGTAATAACTTTGTAGCCTTGCAAGCTTAGTCCAATAATATAAAGGTAAAGGTTGTAATCTCCTCGTATTAAGTTTCATTTCAAATACGCAACATCAAGGTTTGTTCATGGTGGCCATAAGTAGTGGTTTAGAAACCCTTAGCAAACCAACTTATTTTTAGCAGATTTAAACCTTAAGAAGTGTTCTTAAATTCTTTCCAGGTTTCTAAATAAGTTAATAACTCATTTATTTGATTATTGTCTAGTGAAAGAGGTTGGAGAAAGCTCTAAGAGCAAAGGCAATGAGAAGCTAGTATTTGGTTGAGTCTTGAGTGTTTCCAACATCCTAGGATAAAGATAACATATTCTAACTTTTCTATGCCACTTGTGAGTCATTAGATGTGCTTAGTAGCTTGTTTGAGTTCATTAAGCATGTACGCGCATCTATGGTAAATGGGTAAAGTTGAAGGGTCATTTGCGTTAGAAAATAGATCATTTCTAGGCTTAGGTATCAATATTGGAATAACAATATCGATATTGTTCTTCAAATAGCCAAAAAAATTATTTTTTGGCTAGGTAATATCACTACCTTGTTCAAAAGCTATCGATACCCAAGGGCGGGGTATTAATACCAATGCCAAGTTGTGAATTCTAGTAGTTAATTTTGGTATCGAAACTTAGAGAGTATCGATATTATACAAAGTAGAAGGGTATCAATATTGATTTAATTTCCCAAACATCGAGCCTCCATTCAATATTGATACCCATGATGGTATCATACCCTAACAGAGAAGTATGAATACTCAATATAAGGGTATCGATACTATAAGGTATTCTTAGAACATATAATATAAGTATGGTATCGGTACCAGGGAAGGATATCGAGATTGTTAGCTCTATATCAATACTAAAAGGCTCAGTATCGGTATTGCCACACCCTGAATTTCTAGTATTTTCGAGGGACCATTTTTTGAGATTTTGAAAGTAGAGATCTATTTTGTAAGTTCTTTGTTGATTAATGACTTGGTTATTGATTTACCTTTGAGAAAATCGCCTCAGTGACCAAAAAAAAGTTATAATATACGATTTTAACCAACTTTTTTTGGATTTGCCAAAATGACCAACAAAATCGCAACGCGAAATAAAAATCGCAACGCGATCCCCAGAATCGCAAATCAGTTTCCAAAATCGCAACGAGATTCTTGAAAATCGCAATGCGATAGTACAAATTCGCATTGCGATTTTCCAAAATCGCAACGCGAATATGAAAATCGCAACGCGAACACATAAATCGCAACGCGTATCCGTAAATCGCAACGTGTATCCGTAAATCGCAACGCGTATGGGTAAATCGCAATGCGTATCCGTATATCGCAACGCGTATCCGTAAATCGCAACGATAATCCATAAATCGCAACGAGAATCTGTAAATCGCAACGATAATCCGTAAATCGCAACGAGAATCTGTAAATCACAACACTGAAATTTTGGGTATATAACACTGAAATCATAAACTAAATCCCTAAATCGCAACTCATTCCATCTCCATCTATCACTCTCTCCGGCGACATCCGTTCCTATATCCAACGACATCCTTCCCAATCCGGCAACAGGTTTTAGTTTCGCAGCTCGTCTGTTTAGTAAATTAATTTACAACCATGAAATCATCTAATGTTGATCATGTTTGGATAGATTTGTGTTTTGGAGGGTCATGGGATAATGTTCATGGTGTTTTACAATATATGCCTTTACCCATGAATCTTCAACTAAAATTGTCTTTACAAAAGTTAACTTATGAAACTCTAATGCTACGTGTTTCAAATAAATTGAATTTAGAGCCCCTAAGTGGATTTAGGCTATCTTATCACAAGATGATGTTACATTGTATGTTGTTGAACCTAGAAGTAGTATTGTTGGGTCAGTAGCGGGTAGTAATCAACTAAGTTTTTCTCAAAACCCACAACCTTTCTCTAATCCAAATCCCAATCA